CCACTACGTGATAGGCACGTTACCATAATCGAATAAAATAACATAGCATACGTAATCCGAAAATGTAGCATCCTACTACAGATGGCGTTTACCGCGCCATTTGTGGTATTTTCTTAAACGCGTTGTTACGATAGTTCTGTAGGAGCTGCCTGCGACGCGCTGATGACATCCAAAAAGATCGAAATCGCGATCCGCGTCTGGCAGTTTCGACAGGATACAGACCACTTCGAACATTTTCTATAGTCATTTTTATGTTCTTTGAATCTAATACGTAAGTTGACTAATATACTTCGTGTTACAGTTGTTATAGGCAGGGCGGACGGGAGTTTGTGGGAGTTCCCGCTGGGCCCACCGACGATGCAGGATCCCTGCATGCCTAAACATGGGCTTTTTAACCAAGTAACCCCGGGAATGATAATTTTCAACACAAGGAACAGAAAGCAAACAAGGTGGGTTCATAAACCAGTACGCGTAGGATTGTACATATGATGTCGTCCCTAAAAAATACATTAATGTCAGGAAAACATTACGTTTTATCTCATTTACATGCACCTCGATCTTGTATTTTTTGCGTAAGTCTTCATGAGTTTTTCAACGCCTTTACCTGGCAAAAGGTTAAATCGATCTGCTTACTTTAATGATATTTATTTAAAGAAATCAACTCTTAATAAAGGATTTAAACAATAATTTATTGGGGTATTTCTGCTACAGGAATATATAATATTTATAAAATATGAGAGTGTAGAGACAAAAGCAAAGTTTCGATACCAATAAATGAATTTTTTTAGACTTTAAAGACTCTTTGACTCCTAGAATTCCTGGGCCCTTTCATAGTCCCAGTCCACCCCTGGTTATAGGAAATTTTTATGAAATCCTATGACATTGTTAGTTACTTAATAGTGGATTAATATGCAATATTAATTTGAAATCATTTTTTCGATTTTCGAATCGGACCCGGAGCCTTCGGCTTTACGCACCAATGTTCTAAGGTAGTTTATAGTGAGTAAATAAAAAATCAAAAAAATGATTTCAAATTACTATTGCATAGGAAATTTTGTATATTATACTTGTTTTGAATGTTTGGTTGGATTTAATACCTAATTACTATTATTACAACATTTTTAAATTAAGAAGTTTGCAAATTAAAACTGCTCAATATACAAAAAAAAATTAACTAACTGCCAATTACAAACTGCTGCTAAGTATAGGTAGACTGCGGCTGCCTAAATTATAAGTTCTTTAGTTAACACTTTGTATTACATTTTCTCCTTATCAGTTATCAAATTGTACTTGTAAATTTAATTAAAAAATCTGATTGTTCACCACGTGGCTTTCAAACACTTACAATTAGTTATAATATTTACGCTTTTAACTTTAAAGTATTTATTCTATTTACTAGTACGACCCGTCCAAACTTGAACGAGGAGTACCGTTATCATTAACACTTATAAAGAGTGTTTTATAAATAAGTAGCAAACTAACTTATAGGGCGTGATAGATCACTATAAAACAAGAAAATTAAGTAATGTTTGGTGGTCCGAAAGTCCACTGGTTTCAAGAAAAGTACAGGTAAAGACCAGGCTCTAGTAGATAACTAGGAAAATATGACAATGCAGTGTTTTACTCAATTAGCTGGCATTTACTACATTCGTGTTTTATTTCTTTTGCATTTTTGTACTCATGCATTGTTTGTTATTTATTAGATTAGATTACATGCGATTAACGAATCCTATGTTAGAGTCAGCTGTAGTAGTTATTTGTTCTTTTAACATTGTAGGTTTGTATGTATGAATTCAGTTGAAGCCATTGGCAGTAGGTCAGTGTGTCACTGTTATAAATCAGTTCTGAATACTAGTTGTTAAAATGGCGTTTAGTAGAGTAGTTTTAGTAGAACTTTGTGACATGATACTAATTTACGGAGAATATGAATACAATGTCAATGTAAAGATCGAAACGTACGGTTATCGATGTTCTCAGCGGAGACTTCGTCATCGGAAAATTGTCTTAAGTGAGGTACAGGATTTAAAAGAAACCGGCAATGTACATCCTGCATATTAAGGCCGTGGGCTCGAACCATATTGCCGTTGTAAAAGACGAAGTTCTTGATTTCATTCAAAACAAGTTTCAAAGTAGTAAGCGCAAAATAACGCGGAACCACACTCTTGCCATGTTACATTGTGGTGAATTCTAAAAGAACAATTGCTGCAACCTTACCATTTGTGTTAATGATTTGCAAGACCGTGTTATGATCGCTGTAAATGAAATTCGTCAAATGTCTGACGCTTTTGCACGAGTGATGAATAATTTTGGTAGACGTCTTGACGCGTGTTTTGTACCACGTGTTTTAATTTCGAACAATTTTTGTAGTACTCGTACGTGTGTGTTTAATGTTTAACCACTGTCACACCGTATCTACAGTATTAAAAAAACGTATGTTCTAGAATTGATTTATTAAGCACGTCTCACACGTCAAAATATTGATATTTAATTAAAAATTTCGATTAAACGACAACGAGAAGCACCTTATCAAACCTATATAT